ACTCTGGGTAATTTTAACTATTTGTAATTATTTTAATTAACTGGAACGTGGCTATCTTGGACAAAGTGAAGTTTTGTGTGTTGGTGATTTCTTTTTCTACTATAAATGCCTCTGATGATGGCTCCGTGGTGAGCCGAAACATGTAAGGCAGGTGGTGACGAGGTGGAAAACTTAAAAAAGTGTCACATTTGACGGAAGGAATTTGATTGTTAATTGATTACACTTCTTTATTGTGGTTGGGTCTTTCTGACGAATTTCTTTTTTATAGGAAAGATATTTGTAGAGTATTTGGAATAAAACAAAATTATTCTTACATTCACAAAGAAGAGCAGATTAATTNCAGATTTCTTATATAGTTTTTCTTCTACCCTGAAGATGGAGGCGATACGTTCCTCCGAAACGTCGGTTAACACCACATATACACGGTGCCAAATCCCAGAAGACTGCTTTCTTCAATTTTAAAAATGCCTGATACCGTTCAGTTCCGTATCATTTACCGTCTGTCTGAAAGGGAAATAATTATATTATACAAAATTGTAGTAGTTCTATGTGGGTGAGAATCTTAGTCTCTCATTTTGATTGATGGTATTTGGCCGTCAAAATAACAATAAATAAAAATAAACCAATCTAACTGCTCACATTGTAATCAGGAACCGGAAGAGATTAAACAAACGCTCACACAGAAGGAATACAGAGTACACCCTAAGGAAAATACAAAATCATGGTGATAAACCCAAGAAGACAAGTTAAAATAACTATAGCCTAATAACATTATTGCGAATAGCTTATATGACTATAACATAACAGCGAACCCCGGGAGAAGGACAACCTGCTATGCGGGATAAAAACACAAAACAAATAATTTTACATTCAATGATAAGAGAATTTTAAATAAATTTAAATTCTGGAACATTTTAAAAATATAAAAATTCTTGCAACCTCCTGACGGTTGCATGTATTGTGTGATTGTGATTAGTAGCACTGATGTGGTTCCATATAAGGTCAGTTCAATAACAAGAGAGGCTGTCTGAAGATGGTCCCATATGCAACCCGAACCGTGTAGCAATCATTAAATAAAACCAACAAGTTTAATTGAAAGTTCGTTAGCCTAATATTTGAAGAAGAAGAAGAAGAAGAAGAAGAAGACCAAATAAAGGAGGATAAGATGGGCTGGGACTTAGCCGTGTGGAGAAATGAAAAATGCATACAAAAGTTGGGTTGGATTTAAGCATGGATGGGAGAGCCGTAAAATCTTGAAGTCCTTCTTGTCGTGGTGCTCACTTAAATACTAAGGCCATTTTACTCCTCCCCCCCCCCGAGTCGTGAGACAGAAAAATATGGTCGTAAGTCCTACGGGACTCGGAAAGAAGAATGACTGTGCTAGCGAGATCAGCAGCAATTTACCCGAACCGAACAATTTTTTACTTTTCTTAAGGACTACAGTGGGAGGTGGCTGAGGTTAGGGACCAGCGGTGGGATCTTGTGCACACGTTAATGAACCGTCGGGTTCCATAAACTTTGCTAATATCTTGAATAGCTAAGCTATTGTGAGTTTCTCAAGAAAGATTCTATCCGTGAAATTAATTATTTCAAAACTTCCATCCCTCTTGAAGAAAGAAGAGACGAAACATAGAATCAAAGAAGGCTGTGAGTAATGAACGACGTGAGAAGAGTACAGCGGAGTACAGTACCATTAATGAGAGGCGGAACAGCCGGCTGAGCAACGCTGCTTGCGGTCACGCGAATTTCTCCGAATTCCACCGAGCGGACATCAGGATCGCATAAACATTCAAGAGGTCTGATTGAGCGAACAGCGTACAGACTTTTAATTTCACAGTTACTCCGCTCGTGGTGTGTGGGTTATGTATGTATATGTATGTATGTATATGTATGTATGTATATGTATATATTGTCACGTCTTTCCTATGTAACGCGGGTCTCGGATTTGGCCAAGACGTTTATTGGACAATCTCTATTACTCTCACACTTACAGTTATTATCAACTTATGACGTCTTCGGACGTTTCTTCTTAAATGTTACGACACTCTCGAACCTCTGTTCTCGATGAAGTGTCTTCTGCTCTAGCCGAATACCAAATACAAGGTCAAATACAAACCGAAAACTCGTCAAAGTCAAAGTCATATTGCGACTGACGGTCAGTCAGTCAGTCAGTAAGTCTTGGTGTCGAGCCCCATCTGGGGCTCATGACCAGATATTAATTATTACCGTTTGAAAATTACGGTCTTATTTCTGTGGGGCGCCCTCTCAGATGAGAGGACGGGTCTGTCTTTTTTTTTCATATGCTGTTGGCCCTTGTCAGCGCGGACTTTCTCGGGTCCGAGTCCCTTGAAACTCGCGACCATATTTTACTGTCGTCGGAGCTACACTGACTCTTGTAGCGTGCGCTCGGACTGACTAGGGAACATCGTGTTGAAGGGTTCCGTTTTATCCGCTGGTAGTATTCGTTTCTGTGGATATCCTTCCATTTCTGGGGAAATACATTTGTTTTTTAGGCGATTCCTATGCAACGGTCTGCTGGTATTGCGTTTCCACTGAAGTATACATTCTTATTGCAGCCGTTGCCTATCAATGGACGTCTTATCGCCCTGCTTTTTGGTGGCACGCCACATTATGTAGTCCGTATGTTTTATATGTGTATATACAAAAGAAGGGATTAAAATAGAGAAACGCAATTCCTTTCCGTCTCCTTTTCTTTTTATCCCTCGTCTTATCCGGACAGACGGAACACTTTAATGCAGAGATACCTCTAAATTGCCTGTTCTTTTCTAGATACTCGATTACCTTACCCTAGGGGCTAGAATTTCTGTCCATTGTTGTGGAGCAGATGGTTCCCACTGCAACTGTGGTTTGTTTTCTACAGGAGGAGACCCCGGGCTGAATAACCAAAAGACACCCACCACGCTACTCCTCACACCTAGCGGAGAGTTTCACTCCTTTGGCTTTGCTGCTAGGGACTATTTCCATGACTTGGACTTACAAGAGGCTAAGAAGTGGCTGTATTTTGACAAGTTCAAAATGGCCCTTCATCACAACCAGGTAATGTTAACGTACCATTAACCGACACTCTGATAAACCAATATAATCTAGATGTCTGACATTACTGAAGTCATTTGTTAGTTCCACGTTCTGTGCTAACCCTCCTTTGACTTCTTACTTAGTCTTCCATTTTCCAAAAGGTTTCTCCGTCAAAATTCTGCACGTATATCTCGCCTACTCCAGCTGAGCCACATGGCCAGCCCATCGTAGCTTCATTGACTTCACTCCCTTAATAATATTCGGGGATCTGCAAAAATTATGAGTGTTCTACATGTACGATATCCCCTTTCATGCGTACTTAATCTCCCTGAAGGACAAAATATAAGCATTAGACTATGTAATATTTAAATTGTTGTGCCATTTCATGAAACATTAATTCTTTTTCTTTTTTTAATTCGCTTAGTGGGAGGTGGAGTCCAACTGGATTATCCACTCGGCACGGCGGCCACTGATTGGCCTATTGTAGCCTGCCCCGGGTGATTATGATGATGGAGAATTTGGTGGAATGAAGATTGGCAAGGGAAACCGAAGTACTCGGAGAAAACCCGCCCCAGCGCCACTTTGTCCTCCACAAATGATACTTGACCAGACCCGGGATCGTACCCGGGCCGCCGTGGTGGGAAGCGAGCGACTAACCGCTTGAGCTTCACGAAACACGAATTCTAGAAGGGCTGGAAATGATTGTAAATGCGGTTAGACGGTATCAGCTTCGTTCCAGAGCGTTGCTCCCCCCCCCAAGTTGTGTTAAAGTCAGAATTGACGTTCCCAACAATGTGGGAACGAGCCTTCATTCTAATAATTTCTTTGATAATATATGCCCGTCATTCCTTCTGGCCCTTCTAGATCCTGGAGTATCTGCCGTGTTCTGAAAAGTAATTTCCATCGCCGGACTCTCAGTACATTTGTTCCATTCCTGTGTAATCTGAATTCCAACTAATTGGCATGAACCCATAGATATTCTGAGATGCATAGAATTTGTGTATATTGTTCTAGGATTTGAACCGAAACACGGAGTTAAAAGCAGCGAATGGTCAGCCAGTGTCTGCACTCACTGTATTTGCCCATGCCTTGCGTCACCTCAAGCGCTATGCTTTATTGGAGTTGTCTGACCAGACTGGTTCAAACGTTGCTGTTGAAGATGTCCGCTGGGTTGTGACTGTACCCGCCATCTGGAAACAACCTGCCAAACAATTTATGAGAGAAGCCGCATATCAGGTCAAGATTTCTTTTTATGTAAATGCCCTTTCTGTTGGTTGGTTCTTATAGCACTGACACTGCCGATAAATGTCACGTTAGAATAATTTAACAGCCGTAATTGTTAGCCTACCAATCACAGTGGCCGTTTGGTCTAAGGCATGAACCGTCTTCGCCCGCTTGAACACTGGGATCATGGGTTCGAATCCCACTCGAGGCATGAATGTCTGTGTGTAACTAGCGGCCTTACGACGGGCTGAATCCCCCTCCCCGGTCCAAGAAATCCTACCAACTGTGTATAGATTAAGAATTTGAAAAGCGGCCAAGGTCCACAAGGGCTGTAGAGCCATAGATAGACGGATGGATGGATGGATAGATGGACAGGTAGATAGAATTGTTAGCCAACTTTCCTTAGTTTGAAAAGATAGAAGCAGTTTTACGAAACCACCATGCAATTGGTGTGTCTATGAACTCTCCCCCATCAATTTTTGAACGCTTGAACACATCTTTATGAAACTTGGTATGTACATCATGGCACCTGAGCCGGTCTCAGCGGCGTATCTCATAAATCACTCCCATTAGTTTTTTGTGTCTGTCTGTGCATCCCCTTACTGTTGCTAGGCAGATGCTCGGTAAAAATGTTGCCGTGGCAACAAGTACATACGCAACAATAGAAGAATCGTTGCACTCGTCATTTTGTATGCGGTCCATTTCATATCAAAGGAAATTAGGGGATTAGCTCTTCCCAGAACTTCTTGTTAAAGATATGATGCCATCCAAAATTTGAACAACTTACCTTAAATTATCTTGGTATATTTTCCCCCAGAAAAAGGTGCGAGGGCGCGAACTGGTTTAAGATGGCCCAGGACATGTTCTACAAGTCAGATCTTGTGCATATGGCAATGAACCTTTTGAGTGTTTGAGTTTCATGACTAGCTGGTTGAATGGCGACTTTGTGAGACACTGATTCATACACAGTGAATGCTCCATATTCTGCAGAGGTAGGGGGGTGAGAAGTAGTGTAGTATGAATAATTAGAAACAGTGAATAATTCAGAACTCCAGAAATTCCAAATAGCCATGTTGCAGTGAAGCTTGAAAGTAACTTAATGACTTACTGGTCCTGCTACTGGTCACTAGACAGTGAGACAAGTGTCTTTACAATAAAAGGTAACTTTGTTCAGTGGTAGGCTGACGCAGAAAACAATGAAATAATAAAATATAAAGTTGCAAGAAGGCCAGCGCTTAAGGCCGATTAGAAAATGTAGGCTCCTTGACGTCTTACAACCCTATGAGTCTCCATGGCCTATTACAGGAACAGGTTTAACTTACCTTACCTTTTACCTTAATTCTGAAAAATACTCATAGGTACACTTAAGTTACACTCAAGATAGTTGCGGAAATGCATTTCTGTTTCATTTAATATGTCCGTCTTTTTGTCTGATTTTAACCAGATTGGATTCTGAGAACAAATTTGGTAAAAGCTCATTCATATCAAATTTCATGAAAATTTCTTTAGCGGTTCTCAAAATGTCACATGCAGTCAAAGACATGGTATCTACAATAAGATCATTTTTGTAACTTTTAGTAACAGATGTGCCAAAAACGATATCAACATAAGGCAGACATCTATAACCTACAAAGCTCATACTGATTTGCATTGTATTCATAATAGTGAAGCAGACAGAATTTTTAAAACGTATACAAAATGTCTCTTAAAGTCACAGTGCACTTCTGTAATGATCATATTTGGAGATTCATCAATTTATGCATTAGCTGTGTTCCAAAAAGAGTTTCAGATGGTTACATCATATAAATCAAACACAATTTTCCATTCTTCCCCCCTCCGAATAACTCCTTCACAAATTTACACAATAACCTACTGATCCTTCTCCCTGTCTCTCCAGCAAGAAATTTGCCTTAAGGCATATGCTGTTAATCAAAACCATCAGTTGACAGCATTAAAATGAAATCACAATTTTTGAATTTGCACATATTGAGGAGTAAACACTTAAAAACACTTAAGTAAAATTTAACTCTTATACTTGGTATCAAATCCAGTGTAGTATAAATACGAGTACATAACATGTAAAATATTTACGTTACGTTATGAACCAACAAATCTCAAGTCACATGAAAATCCAGAAATAAATTATAATAAAATGTGTAGTCAAAACACAAAACTCAGATTTTGGAGACTGTGGCCCAAAAATGTACAGGAGGAAACCTAATCCAGTCTAATGGTGACCGTTACTATGTTGATGACGAGGATGATGACATCAGTGAGGACAATGATGATGATAAGAAAAATGACAACAATGACAACAACAATGATGATGAAGACAACCATAACATCAATAAAAATATAGTGTTGTTGTAAATAGCAGATCCTCTTTAATCAGTGATCAGGTTTAAATTGTTTATAATTAAGATTAAAGATTTTGGTAGTACTCATTGTAATGAACAACTTCTTTTGGGACGGAAAATACCAGTGCTTGACTAGGTCCAGATATACTACAAGCATATGCAGTTCCATATTGTTGATTATCTCATGGTTTTGGGGGTTATTGTTCAAGCTACAAGTGACTCTCAGACATTAAACCTGCTATCACATCTGGGTGAAGCAGAGCCTCCAGTGGAAACTGTCTGAAATGCTAGTACAATAAGTCATCATGGCTCATTTCACTGTGGTTTAATGTGTTGTCCTGCCTGGTCAGCAGCGGTTTTTGTTATGCTCACTGAGGTGGGTTATGGAACTGTGAAGAAGCTCTTGGCTTTCTCATATCTCTTCTGCTGTCATCAGCTTTCTAATCCTTTCTATATTCTTTGTTACTCTATTCAGCTATCGATTATACCTCATTCAAATTAAACCGAAGTTCCTATTTTAATAAGAGGGTGTATTAATTTACTTTTCTACACATATGTTTGTTTTATATTATGTTCAACTAAAAACTGCTTACAAGGGCTGCAAACACAGCATGTAATCCTGAATTATGTATTGAGCCATAGCACAAAAATTGTGTAAATATTTCTGCTAACCATGCATTAAATACTGATATTTTATTCTCACTTTCTTTCCATTGCCAGGCAGGTCTTTGTGAGCCTGGATGGCCTGAGAATCTCTTGATAGCATTAGAGCCTGAAGTGGCTTCCATCTGCTGCCGTAAACTGCGCCTGAATCAGCTTGTGCCAGAGCGACCAATTGAACAGACTGAGCTGAAAATAAGGCGGACCTCCAGTTCTACTTTGAATCTTCCCCTGGAACCCACTGGAAACAACTTGGTCCTTGAAGACAGCAGAGAAGGTACTGTCCTTTTGTGGAGAGTGTGTCTCTTCATGTGTCCCATCCATTGCTCCCATACAAAAAGGAAAACACTTCCAAATGTTGTATGTTCTAATTGTAATAACTGTCTTTGATTAATATTAATTTTGGCTGTTGAAATATTAATTGATTCTTAAATTATATACAGATGTTTTGTTTTTCATCTGTGAAGGTTATATAGTATTGTTATAAGATAGGAATATGATCATCAGTATAAGGGACAGGAAGGATACTGTCATGGCATATCTGAAAGCACTCTTTGGTATTCACCTCAAGAGACTGAGGACAGCCACAGAAAAACCACAGACAAGATAGCTGGTAACCTAACAAAGTTCAGACTGGTACCTCAAAAATTAAAATCTGGAATTTTACTGCCACAGCAGTTCAGTTACCTCAGACCACTGAAAGACATTCTGTTGTTTCAAACTAAGGAGTTTAAAATTCCAATATCAATTTCATAGCAAAGTAATGATATTTTAAACTTTGACAAAATAGCTTCCATCTCATATATTTACATAACAAGATCTCTGTTTCTAATATATCTGAATGAGGCAGAAGGTAAGTAAAGAAAAAATAAAAAACAAATTTAAGGTTTTATGTTTTATACTAAATTTTTTAATATGTGTACATATACACATGCACATGCACTTTTAAAGGTGCTGATAGATTTCCACAGAACTATCATAATCTCCACCAGCCTTACAAACTTTGAAATGTAAATAATAAGTAGCAATAAAAAATATTAAATTTTATAAAATGAGCTTAATGAGATACATTGACAGAACAAAATTACTGGATGGGTAATTTTTTTTGTCCAATTGTTATTCGTGTGTTTTTACTTCATGGATCTGATCATTGCAGGGCAGAGATTTGTATCGGTATACTGGGAAAAATTGTTCTTTATAATGTGGCCCTCAAGTAGATATCTGATATACTACTGGTCCCTCAATGGTTTAAAGATGGGCAGCCCTGTTGTAATAGATACTTTTGCCAGGAAAGTTCAGTGTTAAAATATCATGTGTAGGTACACGTTATATGGTGGTGGACTGTGGAGGAGGGACAGTGGACATCACGGTTCATGAACTCAGTGAATGTAATGGTACCTTACGTGAACTTCACAAAGCTACAGGTGGACCTTGGGGATCCATGGGTGAGTGACAATCATTTGAATTTCATGCTGTGTTTTATGTTGGTATGTAGGTTATGTAATCATTTTCTTCTCAACACATAAACTGAATAATGAGGCTGGTTCCACATGGTTTGTCATGATAAAGGATGACTGAAGTTTAGAAACTATTCCCTGTTACAAGTACGAGGCTCGTCCACAAAGTAAGTTTCCCTGGGGCCGTTTAGAGAAACAAAAAACAATTTCATGGAAATATTTATTGCAACAGATATAGCAAGTGTTCAGCTATTTTTCAACATAATCACCACCAGAATTGAGACATTTGTCATATCGTGGGACCAACTTTTGAATACCTGTGTTGCCGAAGTCTGCCGCCTGGGATTGGAACCACTGTGTGACAACCATCTCCACCTCTCTGTCATTCTCAAAACGCTGATGCTCACCAGACAGGAATTTCTTGAGGTGTAGGAAAAGATGGAAATCACTGGGAGCGAGGTCCGGGCTGTAGGGTGGATGATTAAACACCTCCCAGCTGAACTCCTGCAGGAGACTTGCTGTCCGTCGTGCCATGTGCAGCCTAGCGTTATCATGCAGGAAAACAATACCGGCACTAAACATCCCGCGCCGCTCCTTCTGAATGGCCCGTCACAATTTCTGCAGTGTTTCACAGTAATGCTCAGCATTCACCATCTAACCTCTGGTCAGGAAGTCGATGTGGAGAACGCACTGTCTGTCCCAGAATACCGTGCACATCACTTTCCACGCCGACGTCTGCTTGAATTTTGTCTTACAGGGAGATCCACTGTGATGCCAATGCATTGACTGCTGCTTGGTTTCTGGGGTAATATGTGCAATCCACGTTTCATCAACTGTGATGATCAGTTCCAGAAACTCGTCGCCGTCATCATGGTACCGCTGCAGAAATGTCAATGCTGACTCCATGCGCTTTGTTTTGTGTTCTGGTGTCAGTTGCTTCGGCACCCACCTGGCGCACAATTTCCTGAACAACAGGTGCTCCGTGACAATTTCGTGCAACAAGGAGCGGGAAATCTGCGGGACATGACTGCTGAGTTCCGTAATTGTGATGCGACGATTCTCCATAATGCATTCCTGCACAAGCTCCACCAGGTCGTCTGTAATGATGGATGGCCACCCACTGCGCTTCTCATCATGCACACTTTGTTGACCCGCTGAAAATTGTCTGCCCCAGTGATGCACCATCTGCTTGCTCATGACGTTAAGCCCATAGACCCGGGACAGCTGATGATGAATTTTGATCAGCGCTATATTCTGTGCATTCAAAAACTTTATCGCTGACCGCACTTTACAGTCAGATGAGTGGGAAACTTACTTTGTGGACGTGCTACGTAGTTCATCTATATATTGTCACATTCTGAAGGTACCATAGACAGGTTTTGGATTGATGACTGATGTATTGGACTTTTTGATAAACCTGTGACTACATTTTAGCGTTCACTATTAGACACACACACACACACATTAGTGTCCACAGTCATGTCTTCACCAGTCATTGCTTGGTACTGGCTTCAGATGGTGGATGTTCCACTTCCTCTGTGAATTACCGAACTGTCCACAGCCTCAGCTACCAGCTTCTCACCACAACAGCTCACAACAACTGAGTCCCAGCAGCCCTCTAACTAACTCACCCACCAACTCACTCAACAGCTAACTAGCCCTGCTTATAACATCTGGGCATGGGCTGTGCAGAAAACACCGCTTCCATTATTGTTAAATTCTCTTGCTGCCATGGAGACATGTTTGTGTCTGTAGCTGTTACTTAGCAACAGCTGTTACATAGTTGCTTATTTTGCTGTCATTATCTAACAACAGGTCTCCATGCCACAATGTGTAAGTGATGGCATAACAGTGTAGAGTTTTTGAATTTCAAGATTCTTTTGTTTATCTTGTTCACAAAGGTTTCTCTTGATGAAATTTTTATGAAAGATACTGAAAGTCTGTATGTAGTCTGTATGTTTATCAGTGAGAAATTTAAAGATGATATATGTTATCCAGAATCTATTTAAAATTCAATCAGATAAGGAGATTAGCATGTACAATGAACTGAAAAGTATTGATGAGGATTAAATTCACCTTCAGCCTGGAAACACTGATGAAAGCCAAAAACAATTCAGTAAGGATCACGGTGTCCTGCTCAGATTCAAACTGGGCACTAACCTGAATAAAAGTCAGACCTGTTACTGCTATCCTCACTAATGCATAGTGTCTCATGCTTGTGTCAACCCAACATTAGAATTCCTGATTACAAGCATGGCTCTGGTAATAAAGTTATTCATTCTAATCATAACACCTTCTGCATTAAAATACCACTACCAGAAGCAAGAATAAATTGGTTTCGTTTAGAAGCCATACTCCACACACACGGGGGGGGGGCACATGGTAGCATAGTTAGTTGAGGCACTATGCTACAAGCCAGAAGGTCGCGTGTTCAATTCCTGATGAGGTCATTAGATTTTTTCAGTTGACCTAATCCTTCCAGCCGCACTATGGCCCTGGGGTCGACTCAGCCTCTAACAGAAATGAGTACCAGGAATTAATTAATTAATTTTCCTGGGAAGTAAAAGGCTGACAACCTTACCGCCATCTTTGAGCCGATTGTCTAGATAATGTGGGACCCTCAACATCCCACAACCCTATGGGCCTTCATGGCCTGTTACAGGGATAGCTTCATTTTTTTTTGCTCCACACACACACACACACAGACACACACAGTTGATCTGATTTGGTTCCAGTCAATGTTACAGTTTACAAATAAATTATACCCCATACTAGGTTCCTTTGTATAATTTGTTTTTAATACTTTTGTATTCATGTATTCATTAATAAAGTACTGTAATTTTATTTTGGGCTTTCATTAACTTCTTCTTTAAATTATTCTATCAGACAAACAAATGAGAGTCTTACTGTGCTGTATATTCAGTAATTATTTTTATTTTTGGTTGCATGAAGGGAAACTTTCATTCAAAAATAAAATTTATTTTGTTGTGAAGAAAGCAGTACTGTAATTGATTTTCTGAAATTTGGTTTATATATACAGATTGAGGCATAGTAGGTCAGTCATTAAAGTGATGGGCTGTGGCCTGAACAGATTGCATTCAGTTGATGGTAGACTGGGTTTCTTTGCCACCATATTCAGACTGACTTTGAAACCTACCTAACATCTTACCCAGTGGAAAGTATTGAACATTTAACGGGGAGTAAAGAGAGCTGGAGGGTGAAGGTAAACTTTCAATTTAGTGCTGAGTTCTAGAACATGTGCAAATCTACTTCTATGTCCCATATATGCCTTACATATGTGTAGTGGCACATATTAAATGAGGAATACTTGTTTTTCAGGTGTTGATTATGAGTTTGAACGACTACTTGAAGATATATTTGATACCGAATTCATGGATCAATTCAAGCTAAAGCGTCCGGCTGCATATGTGGAACTCTTATTGAGTTTTGAAGCCCGCAAAAGAAGTGCTAGTCCTCATCGAGATTCATCATTCAACATTTTTCCACCTTTTGCCTTCATTGATTATTATCGTAAATCCAAAGGCAAAGAGGTAAGAGAAGCTTAGTATGTAATGTGAAACACCTCACTTACCCCACTAACTGAATACGTAGATATCAAATATAAATTACATATTGAGAGCACAGTGAACAATGTTCATTCTACAAGGAACATTTTACTGCCATCAGAATGATTAGAGACCATATGCTAAATGACAAAAATAAACTGTATATTTTCTTCAATAAATATTTTATGCTCTTAAATTAAAAAATACAAGTGTGTACACAGAGCTGCTGTTGTAATAAATGGTGCTAGACAATGCATTGACGTCATCATCATCATCATCATCATCATCATCATCATCGTTTTCTTAACATTATCAATATAGAAATACATATAGTAGCTCCTTTCCAATGTGTCAAAGACTGCAGAATTTTGTTGGACTTCAGACTTTACTTCCACTATGTTGATCAAGTTCTTTCTTGAGGTTTAAAAATGTTAAGACTTGATTCATTACATATATTTCACTTTCTGACTACCAGTAGCTTTGTACAGTATATTGTCTTAGTCCAGTCCAAACTTAAGGTCACTTCTATCACCTGCAACTCCATTAAATCAACTGGTTCATCTGAAATTCAAAGAAATTTTTCAGCTGTATGGTATAGCAAATATTTTTATTGGCACTTGTGATGATATATATGACATATTAGTTAAGTCACATTGTTTAACACTTCAATTCATGTGGTGTCCTCAAGAGCAAACTTATTTTCTTGTCCATGCTTGATTCTGTTAGTTTAGGCATACTGACTGGGTTAATCAGGGACTATTTTATTTTTAATTTTCACTGTCATGTAAAGGTTAGTCCTTCAACTAGATATGTTTCAGCTGAAGATCATGCATCATATTAATTGACATTATTAAACATATTAATAAAATATGTAGGGGCATGCAGTAGTGTAATTGGTTGAGGTGCTATGTTACAAGGCAGAAGGTTGCAGGTTCGATTACCGATGAAGTCAATGGATTTTTCAATTGATCTAATCCTTCCAGCCGCACTATGGTTCTGGGGTTGACTCAGCTTCTAAGAGAAATGAGTACAAGGAATCTTCCTTGGGGTTAAAGGGCTGCTGGCAGTTAAGGCTGACAACCTCACTGTCATCTGGGAGCCGAATATCTAGAAAATGTGAGAACCTTGACCTCTCACAACCCTATGGGCCTCCGCAGCCTGTTACAAGGATAGTTTTACCATTTAACTTTTATTAATAAAATATGCAATAGTGTGTAAGGTTTGTATGTTCAGGTCCTTAGTTTTATTTGTATCACTGAGTGTCTAGTATCCAGTTATTTCTAACTGTGTTCTCTTTTTCTACTTTCATATGTTCCCTTTTCATTAATGCCTGTTTACATTTTCTGTTCCACTATAGAGTTTTCTGCAGTGCTTGCCTCTGATTGGCTTTATGACTGTTGTCAAGAAGTTCAATAAATGAACTGAATTATTATTGTTATAGTCATCATTATCACTATTATTACTGCTGCTGCTGCTGCTGTTGTTGTTTTCATCATTATCATCGTGTTGTTGTTGTTGTTGTTGTTGTTGTAGCTTTCATCTTTATAGCCAAAATAAATTTGAATAATTTAGNTCACTTGTTCACTTGCAGTTCATCCCCTTCCCTCTCTGCTCTAACGGTATACTCTTTAGTCTGCTTTATCGTGTCTCACGGTGTTGTCGCTTGCAGATTTACTTATACTTTTTCTTCAACCCTGAAGATGGGGGCGATACGTTCCTCCGAAACGTCGGTTAACACCACATATACACGGTGCCAAATCCCAGAAGACTGCATTCTTCATAGTCACCGCCGTGAAAGCCTCAAATCTTACAATTTAGAATTCGTTTCTAAAATGTGAATCTTACATACAGAGCACAGATTGTTCACAGTCCTTTCCAATTCAGAATTATGCCTTTGTGGCAAAACTCCTTTAAAGGGATTTGGTGTACATAGATCCAAAATCCATCTTAAAATGTTTCTTACTGAAATATGTCACAGATACCTGAGGAAATAAAAGAAATCCCCTTTCCCAATCCATGTAAAAACAGCTAAGATAGTTGGGTCTGCAATTATTTTTCTTTAGTTTTTGTGAATATTGTAAATCCCTGAAAACTAGATGAATTTGATATTCCAGATTGAACAGGCAGTGAAGAAATATGGGAGAAAGGACATAACTTGGTCTACACAAGGGATGCTGAGACTCCAACCTAAAGTGATGATGGAACTCTTCAGACCAATGCTGGATAAAATAATACAGGTTTGTTAATGATGGACCCCAACTTCTCATACATTCTGTAATTTAAATGTATAAAAATTTGAGGTGTGTCAGTGTTGTGCCAGCCTCTTGGTTTTCTGAGCAAATACTATTTTCTCAGTGTCTACAAGGCAAAGGTCAAATTGTCCCTGTAACTAAGCACCATGAAATGAATACGTTTGGACAATGGAGGTAATCTTACTTCAGTACTATATAGAGACATGTGGTCAGCTTCAAAATCTGGCCACTTTACTCTCAAGAACGTAAACCCCAGAACCAATCAGATGGGAGGTTACGTGAGTACCAGAGCTGCTCTGGATGTGGTGTCAAAAAGAGAAATCCCTGCCTCTGCTAGGAATCAAAGTCTGCAAAGTCCATGACCAGTCATTTTACTGACTGAATATTCCATTGAAAGTTATTAACATTTCCTGGAGTGTTGGCATATTTCTTGCTATAAGGGCTGTCATCAGCATAAGCACATGCCTGTTTATACTTATAAAGTATACTTCCAATTAATTTTAACTCCTTCAGTACTTTATCCAGTGCCAGGTTGAAGAGAACTACTCAGAAGCCATATCTCTGCTTCACTCCTTGCAAAACATTAACTGATTTGCTTACATTTCCACCAATTGTTATTTTTGCATCATTATCTTTCATAGCCATTTCTAAAAGTCTAACAAACATCTTGGGGATATCATAGCTTCCCATTGCATTTAGGAGCTCTGTTCTATTAATGTTATCAAAAGCTGTTTTATAATCAACAAATAATATGTGAAGATCAGAGTTAAAATCAAAACACTTCTCCATGAGTTGATGTATAATAAATATTTGTTCTATTGTACTTCTTCCATGCCTGAAGTAGCACTGGTATTCCTCTAGGATACTATCTGCATATTGATTTATGCATTCTAAAATAATACAAGAAAGGATTTTGTAGGCTATATTGAGTAGTGTAATGCCTCTGTAATTCTTGTGACTCCAGCTTCTCTCCTTTTTAAATATAGAGTATATCAAGTCAGTGTATCTTTCTTTGGGTATAACATCTTTCTCCCATATGGAAAAAATAATTTTATGAAGTGCTTCCAAGAGACTCTGTCCACCATTCTTTAAAAGTTCTGGCTCTATGAAATCCTCACCAGGTACTCAGTTGTTTTTTGTTTATTTATTGCTGTTTTAACTTCAAGTAATGAAGGAGATTCAATCTCGGTTTCAGCAATGATGTACTGTACTTTTTCTGTCTCTCGTCCATTTGCCCTGTTAAAAGTTTATTCAAAATATTCGACCCATCTATTCTTTATCTCTAATTGGTGTCATATTACATTTCCATTTATATTTTTACAGATATCTGGGCATGGTTGGAATCCTTTATTCAGTTTCTTTACAGCTTGATAAAATTACCTAATGTCATTTTGATTACTTAAAAACTCAATATTTTCTATTTCCTTTTGGATATAAGCTTCCTCTTTACTGTGAATTATTTTATTAGCCTTTTACCTACTTTTCTTGTATTTATCATATGTTTGTCTTGTTGTTCTCTGTAACATATGCAGTCCATCCTTGTGATTAAAACATGTGCTTTTTATAATAAAATTATCTACCATTGGCAGCTCACTTAACATTTTTCCATTATCATTTGTTTCAGTATGAAGTGTTTATTTTCCAGCCACATTATTTAAAAAGGCTTCTATCCAAATTTGAGTGTTAATATCATCTAGAATCACTAACATATCATATTTTGGTATTTTTGAGCATTCTCTATGAAGTTGATTATAAAATGCATGCTTGTTCTCTTCTTGTTGTTGATTCTTGTTCTGTTTGTGCATATGTTGAAATTATTGTGACATTTCTAAAACGCCCTTTGAACCTAATTTTACACATTCTATGACTTGTGGATCAATTATAAAACGAGTCCCACATTGTCCAGTCCTAGAATTTGATCCACTATAAAATACTGAATAATCTTGTTTATCTATTCTCCCTCTTCTCCCTTGTCCAAGCCATCCAGTTTCTTGAATTGCTAAAATAGTTATTTTGAATTTTCTAGCTTCATCTGCAATTTCTACCATTTTCCAAGGTTGTAACATTGATTGCTATTGCTATTGTTAATCCTGCATTACTTTTTCAGTTCCATATGCCACTGCCTGAGCCACAGCAATGCGTGGCCGGGTACCGCTATTATATTAATGATTATATTTACAGAACAATTTTCTAAAATTTTGCGATTTTGTTGTACTGCGATGTGGAAAGCAAATGGAAAAACTTTCCAAAAACAGAGATACCATGTATGCGAGATAGAGACAAAACAAATCGGAGGGGCGGATAGAACTGACCAGAAGACGAGGAAGAAGACGTAAGAAGATGCTGGATGACTTTGGGGACAGAAGAAGATATTTTTATTTGAAGGAGAAAGCTCAAGATCGCATTAGGTGGAGGAATTGTTTTGGAAGAGACTGTGGACCTGTCGTCTTGACAGATTACTGATGAATGAATGAATGAATGCCACTGCCATGTCATCCATATAATCTTACTGGGTCATTCAATAAATGTAAAGGCATTGCGATAAGAGTTTTTTATGGGATAAGGTCGACATCCTTAAGCCCAGCCCTTAACCAGTGGGTCTGGAAGTCTTGTTTTTGGGGTACTTTACCCTTAATAGGGTTGTCTTCACTACAACTCAAAGAGCTTCTTCCACCCTTCGCAATTTACAAGCCATACCAATGTCCATCATCTTTGTCTTGTAGTACCCAGTTATAGACCCTTCCAACTTCTGGCTTCAGCTCTATACTGGTACAGGAGGAACTGCTGACTTCTAACTGCGATGTTCATCGGCTTCCCAGTATGACTAAGTGTTGCCCCTTCTGTCAGTTCCGCCATACCGAGTGTTTTCCTCTCTGCCGCTGCTGACATTGTGGTCTTAACCATACTTGCAAGGGGCTTTACTAGGTGCTACCACCCAAAGCCAGTCACTCCTTTCTTTCTCCTGGCTTGTGACAGGCAGAGCTTGGCCTCCCAAACATTGGGCCCAAGTTCGAGAGGTTCTTTTGACACTTGTTCTCTTAAAAGAAAATTGCATATTCACTATTGTAGAGCTGTAATCCTGTAAGACAAATACAATAAAATACAGAGTGTAAAGTAACTGATCTGGAACTCATTCAAATGATAGTGACCTTCGGTTAGTACATGACTGTATGATGTCAAATAGAAACAGAAATCCATGGAAAAGTGCTCTGATATCGCAGATTGAGAACTGCTGCTTTACCAGTGTCTTGCATCTAGACATTTATTTGTTATATTCAGAATATTAACTCTGTAAGGTAAAATGTGTATATTAAGAGATTCTAAATTTTCAGAGGAAAGATACACAGAATTTATCCATGGACTCATTGGTTACACAAGAATATTTCAAAGCATTCTGGAGAGAACCAAATACAGTGATGTGGCAGGTAGACTGGAGCCTCCTTGTGCATGCAGATATAGTTATGCCTCCTACACACAGAAAAATTGTCCAGTTGCTGTTAGACTAAAAAGCATAATCAGTCCCAGAAGAAAGAGTGGAGCATGGATATTTTCGAAGTGGAAAATTGGATGACCTTGAGTACTGGGCTAAATATAATTTTGCCACCAACTGGGAAAATCAGCTACAGACACATTATAAGCGCTTAAGAAAAACAGACCATAGACTGATCCAAGGTGTGTGAGTGGCATCACAGGTTTGAGGACACTTGTGAGCCACCTCAAGGTGACCTTTGCAGTGGATAGTCTGCAATATTGTGGAATGTGAGGAATTACTGCAGGAGGTTGTGCACTCTGACCATCATCAACCAGTATAAATGGTTGTAATAGAAGTCAGAATTTTGGTTTGTAGATGACACACTATCCCCAGGAAGGCTCTGAAGGTACATTGCATCTTACAACACACTGCACCTAGAAATCTGACACAATGTGATGTGCTCTTCAGTGCAAGTCCAGATTGTTAACTGGACTTCACAATCTGGATTTTCTCTGAAGTATCATCACAGGTGATGGAACCTGGAGCTACAATTGCAGTTCCCATAGCAGGTGCTGTTCATAAGAACAGCTCCTGTCAATGACAGCATATATTTCTGACAGGATTCCACGAAACATAAGGTGATATTGGAAATACTTCTTGAGTCATTGGTCATAGTGCACCACATATTTATTCCCATGGATAGAATAGTTAACAAGGAGAATTAATTCACCTGCCATATCCTGTAATGTGAGTGAAGAAGACGAGTGCTCCTGCATGATAAAGCACTGGCACACTTATTGCTGCCTGTGCTGTAGCATTGCAGCAGCATGTTGTTCAGCTCCCTCACCTACCATTCTCTCCCATTTTCATACTACATAATCTTTACCGCTTACTGCACAAAGGCATCAACTGAAGACTTGTTATTTCTAGTGGCTTTGAAGATTGCGCCACAAGAAGTCGAATATGGTGCTTTCCAGAAATGCTTAGAACAACTTCACACATGGTGGCAGAAGTATATAGTTGCTGAAAGACAGCATATTGAAGAAAACCGTGCTTATGGCATGAGCATGGGCCTAAATTCAAAATATGGCTCTTGTATCAGAATATTATGACATCAGGTTAAATGTAATAAGGAGGGATGGGAGAGGGAACGTTCATGACCTATTGTTCTAGCATTCACTTTGAGAGACTGAAGTGAGAATTGTGATCATAAGCACTGTTCATAAATATCTTTTGATCATCATGTTTATTTCTGAATCATAGTTAATGTGTTTTAGCACATTCGAGATGTTCTGGAAAGTCCAAGAGTGAATGGCATCAAGTTTTTGTTTCTTGTTGGAGGATTTGCAGAGTCTCAGATCCTGCAGCATGAAGTTAGGAAGACATTTGGTGACAAAGTGAAAGTTATCATACCACAGGTAAAGTTATAATCCTTCCTAATTTTGTAATTCATTTTAACATGCATGATATATGATTTTCATCATAAACATAGATAAAGCTTATATCATGGACCAATCTGCATTGATTTTCTCAAAAGAAAATCATCATGCAAAGTACTATATGTAATATAGAATTTGTATTTCACTAGGATACACAAGTTTCGTTTGAAACATTTTTTGGTGTGAAATCCAAGGAAAAGTAATTTATGGTTTCTCCATCGTGTGAAGAGTTTTGAAACAGTTGATTTCTATGAATCCAAAACGTTATTTCAACCTATGGAATGGATACATAGACATGGACAGAGACACAGAGACATGGACAGACACAGATGGGTATACATATAGAGAGACAGAGAGAAAGACAGATAAACAGCAATGTGATCTCACAAGCCTCCATTTATTTTTTCAAAATAAGGAAAATAGGCTAAATATGGATCTTAGAGAAATAGGATTTGGGGGGGGGGTTGAATCGTCTGGCTTGTGTTAGTGACCAGTGGCGGGTCTTTTTTAACATAGTAATGAACCTTCTTTTTCCGAAGAACATAGGGAGATTCTTGAGTAGCTAAGCAACTGTTGGCTTCTTGAGGACTCTGCTCTATGGAGTTTATTTGTTAGCTCTTAGCAGCTTACCACTGAACTTCAATCTGAGCCAATTTTTTTCAGTTCACAGCCTATTTCTCTATTTTCCATTTGTATATTATCCTCTCACTTATGCATTGGTCTTAGAAGTGTTTTTTTTTTTGTAGTTTATTTACATAAATTTTGTATATATTTTGAATAATCCTGTGAATATTATATGTCTTCTTGGTGTATAGGGTGTGTCATTAACAATTCTTCGAGGAGCAGTTCTGTTTGGTTTGAATCCAGGACTGGTGACAGTTCGCCGATCTAAACAGACATATGGTGTTGGTGTGCTGAAACATTTTGTGCATGGGATTCATCCTCTGGGTAAATACTACATAATAAATTTTAAAAGAATTCCTTGGTTGTATGACTAGGGAACAGGCCTCCTACCATCACTGTCTAGTTCAATTCTTGAAATGTCATTTGGCCTACTTTCTTTCTTTATAAAAAAGATTTATAGTATCATCATGTCAATGACTCCATTGATCTGCGTTGTCTGTCCCCCACAAATGGTTTCTTAATGGAGAGATGGATTATCAGTAAATTAGCATCATCAGAGTAGAGATCACATAATCGTTATATAATCCAATGTCACCATGCAAACTTTTCAATAGAATCATTTAATGTGGGGACATGAAATTTGATGTGCTAGCAAGTATCCAAAACATGTGCAACTTCACTGAAGTAATATTTTTTTCAGGTTTATAAACAACAAGATGGCAGATTTAAAAATGTAGCTTCCCATTTTATTATGATAACTAGTGCCCCACACTGGAACTAAGTAATAATTAACAAACTCTAGGCTTATAAGAGAACCTGAAAGCTCATAATTGATAAAGAGAAAACCAAAACACCACATTTTACCAGTATGCTAACAATATGATCACATCGACATTTTCAAAAGCCTGTTTCTCTTATACTGCTTAATATTATGTTCCAAGTGTTCATATTCCAAAAGGTTCTTCGGTTATTCTGTTAGTATTTATTTTTCCCTTATCCAGTCTTCATGACCAGCCTTCTTCTGCCATATCAGTTTGACTCTCATAATGATAAAATAACTTTATTTTTATAAGTTTCTGTAATATGTCACATTCTCTATTCTGTATTTATTTCATCTGTCTTGGTCCAAATGTTTTCAGTTATGAGTATGTTTTGCTTGCAGATATTTTCAATTTATATTATTCAGCAAGAAACTGTGTTTTGGAACATTACAATACTCAGAATATTACTGTATTTGGTATTTCATGAATATCAAAGGTGATAAAATGTACTGAACTCATCATCATCATCAGTAATCTGTCAAGACGACAGGTCCACAGTCTCTTTCAAAACAGTTCCTCCACTTAATGCGATCTAGAGCTTCCTCCTTCAAATGACAGTATCCTCTTCTGTCCCCAAGGTCATCCAGCATCTTCTTACGTCTTCTTCCTCGTCTTCTTGTCACTTCTATCCGCCCATCTATCTTTCCTTCGATAGCTTCTTTTAGAAGGCAGTTTCTGCGTAAAACATGACCAATCCAATTAGCCTTCCGTTTTCTTATTTC